TTGGGGGCTGGGGCACATGACTTATAAGGAGAGGCTGAGGAAGTTGGGCTTATTTAGTCTAGAGATTAGATAACTGAGAAGGGAATTAATAGCAGCCTTTAACTACCTGAAGGGGGATTTGAAGAGGATGGAGCTAGGCCGTCTCAGTGGTGGTGGATGACAGAACAAGGAGCAACAGCTTCAAGTTGGATTGATGGAGATGTCTAAGATGGAGCTGAACTAAAACTGTAAAGCTATGTGGTTCTGTATATGTATATTAGAAGTAGTGAGAAAACACAGCCCATACCCACCCACACACAGCCCCATGTACACCCACAAACCCCATGCCCATCCTTCCCTCCTGCAAGCTGAAGCTCCACTCCTCACTTACCCAGCTGTCCAGTCACACAGCTTGCTGCGCTGCCTCCAAGTCATGGAGCCTACCACAGAATAAATAATGCAAAATTATGCAATCATGCATGGTCATGCCTTTTATGTGCAAAATTGTGCAGGAACATAATTGAATAATTTCCTGGTGTGTAAAGATATAGAGAACAAAATAAAAAAAAAAACCTAAAGTTGATTGGTCAGTATTTACTTGCTAAATTTAAAGGTTAAATTTCCCTCAGCTTTTGGATGTTTCTCTAATAATTTCAAGAGTATTGAACAATATTTACCATTGCTGTATTAATATGGCCTAACTGAGGGAGGGGACACAATCATATCTACCACTACCAGTATTGCCATGTGTGCAGCCACTGCCTAGGACACTCTCCTGTTACACCTGTGTAAAATAAGTACCAGTTAGGTTTTTGCACTATCTTGAAATTGTGAAGGATGATGTACTAATCTCACTGAAATCAATGGCAAACTTACGTTAACCACAATGGAGCAAGGAGTTTCACCTAAGGAGAATAGCCCAATGCTGCAAACACAAGATTTAAAAGTTAGTAATTTTGAGGAATTTATGATTTGGGGTGTTTTTTGCTAAATTGATATAGAAATGCACTCTAATCTTCAGCTCTGTAGTGATTCAGAAATTCCTTTTAAAATGTTACATAATCCTTTCTTTGTATAAGAGGCAAAACAAAAATTATAATAGATGAAAAGCTGTTAGAGAAGCTATCCTATGAGATTTATTAAGCAATTGTCCCAGGGGGAGAATCAAATTCATATCAAGAGTTTTTGGAAGTGGAGTCAAATAAGGAGTGCTTTCTTCCCCTCCAAATAATCCAACCAAGGTCAGACTCCTGATAGCATTAGCTTTTAGTTTTCTTTTTCTTTCCAGTAATTTTCTTCTTCCTTTGATCCCATGTTGTTACCTAACTAAAGGAGTTTAACAGACAAAGCCCATGATCTCTTTCCACATTTCAGTGGGACCCTAGGTGTGGTTAGTACAGGGGCGGGCAATTATTTCGGGTGGAGGGCCACTTACTGA